GGGTTCTCACATGCAGGGTGAAGAAGCACCGGATGAGATGAGGGTGTTACATTATGGGGCTGCAAGGACCTCAGCGTGCATGAATATCAGTTTTTATGCGTTTTTGCCTACATGCAGATTGTAAAAACGCATATTGCGACGATCCTGTCTGTGTGTGCATGTGGGTGTGTATGTTTGCGTGTGTGCGTGTGTTCGTCTGTCCGGGTATCTCAACTCGGCAACCACGCAATTTCCAGCGCCAAGATTTTGCTAGTAGGTTCCCCGCCAAGGGCGACCCCAGAACCGCAGTAACAACCCTCATGCAAGCCTGGGCCTCGCGTACGAAGGGGTGGATGTTTTAGCGGGAAACTGTTAACTTGGAAACGAGAAAAGCTGAAAAGCTGAAATTTTGAGATAATGTTCCCTGTCCAGATAGAACTCAAAGTTTTCAAATTCAGCCCCCAGGTGTGCGTGGTTCCCGCGTACAGCCCTTGAAACTTTTTTAGCGGGAAAATGACTAACTCGGGAACTAGCAAAGCTGCGAGGCTGAAATTTTCAGGAGATGTTCTCATCCCATGTATGACTTAAAGTTATCAAATTCAGCCCCCAGCCACACGCGGTTCTCGTGCACGGGCACTTAAATTTTTGGCAGAAAAATTACTCATTGAACAACTGAGTCATTTTCAAACAAAAATGATCGCTAAAAGGAAGTTGTTCATTTCCTTTTATGCAAAATTTACGATGATTCACGGTATTGAGGGCACAAGGCAGGTGTGAAGAAACAACCGTTCATACAGTTAACCTAATTACTTCAAGTTTGATGCAAAAACACATGATCACACCGGCTTGCCTGGTGCGCTCCGGCCTGAGTTTGCATAAAGCCTGGTCGTTTTTCCGGTGAATGCTTGTTCTTTGAAAAAATGCAGATTTGAAGGAAATCGAAAGAGAATCATGAAATCTGCAAAATGCACTCCCTTTTGAGTTTGCGACAAAACTGAGTATTTGTCATATTATCTGCGTGCAGGGTATTTCACCTCTCAGCTGAATAAGACTACACTTGAGTATTTGCAGTGTTCCAGCCTCGCAGCTTTCTTGGTGAGTGAAATAGCCACTTCGCTACAAATATTTTTGCAGCGCCTTAAGTCGCGGCGCATGCGCAAATCGAAACTCAGTTTAGATGCACTATTTCCCATACGAAAGCTAAATACTTTGATAAAATTTCAGCTATTGTTTTCCGGTTAGTTTTCGAGTTACTACAGTGCCAACTACGAAATTTGACGTGACCTTGCGCATGGTATAAGCATGTGCGATAGATGAACTTGAAATTTTAGCTCACACTTGCACAGAGAAATCCCTGCAAAATTTCAGCTTTCTAACCTCCTGGTTCGCGAAATCGTTCACCACTAAGGAAATCTATATATTTTTTTGAGGATCCGCATGCGAGATCTCGGCGCGCATGAGCAAAGATTTTAAAATGGGGGAGGGGGTCACACACGGGGTGTGAATATGACTCTAAAATTTCAGCCTTCCAGCTTTCCTGATTCCCGAATTGAAAGTGGTTGACAAGGTTCACTCCTTTTCGAACACATACACACATGCAGGCAATCATCGATAAAATTCATTTTTGACGCTATAGCAGCTCTATAACCCTGCATAACATGAAAATTTACAATAACTAGAAGTCACTTGGAGCTCGCTTACTTGAGCAGGATTATCCTTAGCTGTAACACATTTAAGGACTGTTATTGTAGATAGACCTGTTATCATCAAACTCGGATAGAGCCATTGTCAGTGCCCAAGCGATGCTACGTGGATTTTTCCCAGCTGACAGCAAGGATGATCAGTGGTTAAATGGCGAGTTGTGGCAGCCGCTACCATTCCATACGGGTCCCATGGATGCTGCAGATGCCGTTAGTTTTATTGTTCTGAATGTTAGGGGATTGCTGCCTTTGTTTGAGGCTCTTAAAGTGAATCACGTTTCGCAGGTCTCTGAAGCAATTCATAATGAACGAGCTTGCCAGCGATTGGTTTGCATCTTTTTTAGAGATTTGTTTCGAGATCGTAAGCTACTGTATTTATTATACTGCTAACAGTAATGCGCCCAAACAGTGTTACTGCTACCTTAACTTCAGCCAGAAATTGAACGATCGACTGCTTACTGATGCTGATTTCACGGTATCGTGTTGCCTTCAAATTTCTGAACTGACAGGACTGTGCTTACCTTTTTAATACTATCGAGAACGGACGACTAACGCTTAGACGTGAAAAAGAGATTACTGAAAACCGAAGAGTAAGCGTTGGCTGTGGCAATGAGAACGATAAAGAGGTGCATCACACCGCTCAAATACAATATGAAAAGAAGTATGCAGAATGTCATTACTACCACGACAAAGAGAAGAATACCTTGGCCTTAACAAGTCGCTTGGCTTGCTTTGCGTCGTGGAAGTTGTACATTATTGAGTGGTAATGGAAACTACTCGGACAACTTCAGAGTGGGTTATAAGCGTGCATCGCGGAGATAAGCTTAAAGATTGGGCGAATTAGCTTAATTGTGCAAAGTGTACAAGAGCATCCCATTTCACTGCTTCTCAAAATCCGTATCTCCAAAACGATTGCTATCATTATGAATTAGTGATATCACTAATATACTATTTTTCAAACTATTCATTGATAAACAACAAAATTACCTCTACGAAAATTTCACCATCAGCTTTTCTAAAAGCGATTTCGCACGCTTAATGCGCGATTTTGCATGCTAGTGATTCGCGCGCTCACTATAACATTTAGCATATCTCTTAATTTCAGTTACTAAAACCTACCGATTATTCCTGTCCGATTTATGAGCGCTATAATGAAAAGCAGAATGAAGAACTGTTCAAGAATATCAGCAAAAAATACGCCGAATTTTTTAGCTTTCT